GCTAGATCTTTGTACAATTAAATGGGATTAGTGTTTAACACACACATACATGCATAGCGAATTATACCTAGTACAGAGTAATTCTTAGAGTTAGAGAATTATTTTTAACACGGAATAATTTTTTACTATTCAAGTATGTAATATTGAAAGATGTGTTTATATTTCTGCTTAGTAATTTATTTCAGATTAAATAATTCATCATACAGTTGTCATATAGTTACTTAGAGTTTCCAAATTTTTAACACGATACTGAATAATTTTTAGCATAGAAATATTTTCAACTAGAAGAATAACTCTTATCTAGAGAAATGAATAAAATTATATTTCGATCATAATGTTACACTCACTTGTTTCGTATCGGTGGTTTCACGTTGCATAAATTATAAAATTCAGAGGATTGGTACGACGCATTCGATTGTCAAAAAATTATTCATGACCCTGAACATACATGACTATGAATGAACATGTTCGATGATAATATAGTATGTAAGCATACAATACAAATGTGCATTGTTCGATGAAAGTAGAAACTGGGGTTGAAGAACAAAAGAAATCACATTCTACAGTGGGAAGAAAGAAACAGCGAGAGAAGGATAAAGACTGTTGATTATTCAATTACAGATGTATATGTTTCATGACTTGATTTATTATAGACAAAAGAGAAGTGTGAAAAAGCATACTGTTTATCCGTGCAAAGTTAAAATGATATAAGGTAAGATGATATAACCAATGCAGATAAGATTCATTTCAATCGATTTTGCTATTGCAATCGTGAAAGTTTCGTTTGGAAAAAGCAGAACTTCTTTGGGATAGCATTTATGTAATACTTTAGCACGAGTTAATGTAAAGTATCTCAGAGCTGACGTGCTATTGTTAAACGAATTCCATAGTTTCTATTCAGTTGGTTAATGGAACACAGTGACGTTAATGGAACAGTCGGAAAATTACGAGCGGAATTCATGAAACATTCATTGGATACTAATCAGTAACTTTTCCAACGCAAGTATTCGAAAGTATTTAAAAACATTGAAATCTTTTTTTAGGTGCAGAATATTGTTGCATTCGTTTGAAATGTATGAAAAAAATATCAGCAATTTCAATTGGATTTCATCAAGTTTCGAAAGAACTTCGATATTATTGAATATGTTCAAGTGATCGAAAACTTTTCACCAGCGACATTATAACGCTAAATAATATATTTATATTTATAATGTATGTATCGAGGTATAATACATGTCAGCAATCTTTTTCAGATATTTTTTCAGATTCTTTCATATATTCTCCTCAAATTTTAGAAATTTCTTGCTGTAGAAAAATCTTCGGTAAAAAAATGATCGAAAGAATACAGATCTATCTAATGAAAATAAAAATCATTATTAAATAAATGTTAAATATTTCGACCAAAGTGATATTTCGAATATTTTATTCGCGTATCAGAATTTTAATTTCGCTTAAATTTCAATTTTAATGAAATGAGTAAGATATTTTATTCGCCCAGCAGAGTTTTACTGCTTAACGTCTACATATCAGTAATATATACATTCGCAATTTATATATAGACCAAGAAAGTCAAGTTTCATTGCCATTAAACAAAATCTCTATGAATCACTTCTATCATGGGTCTGGCTCGCATCTTTTTCAGTGACTTCATGATTCATGCATTTGCAAGCCATGGATTGAATGGCTCGCAACCGGAAGTGGTAAAGTGTCAGTTGTACGAAAAGATTACGATGGGAGTCATTATCGATTTACATGTATAACGTGATTTATATTATAATCATATAATTATAAATTACATTTATCATATTTGTCATGTTATGACATATCTGAACGATTGGAAATGGATCAAAGAAATTTGTTTCAAAACTGGAAAGCTGAAATAATATTTTACAATAACAAATAGTATTGATGTGTCGACAATCGTACTGTAAAATAGACGTGCAATTTAGAGATTTTATTATCAGCGATAAATATGGGATATTAAAAATGACAGTTAAACGACAGTTAAAATGTATAATTATCAAAATTAAGAATGAATTTATATCAACGAAGTCGAAATATAAGTTGAAAGGCCAAAAGCTAGTAAGAGATAATTTAAGACTCATTTGATAAAGACGTAAGTGTATCATGTTACAGAACATTACAAAAATTCAATGCCAAAAAATTCAGTTATTATTCAAGTGTTAAAAACGAGAATGCATGCACATAGAGGCGATAAATCTAGATACATGTTCACTAATCTCCATATTTGTTTCATTTACATTCTTGTAGATAATTAGTATTCTTGTAGATAAAAGTATAATTAGTATTAAAAATATTATTAATATTAAAAAATATTATTATATTAAAAATATGAGTATTAAAAATATAATTATAAAAGTATAATTAGTATTCTTGTAGATAAAAGTATACAAAAATAAATCAATTATATACGCCAAATGATAGGATAAATATTAAATATAAATAAACTTTTGTTTCAGTGTATATTATATAAAATATTGATTTTATGAAAAGTTTCTTCATATTATATGATAATCTGTATTATAGTACGGCGAATGGGAAATAGATATAATGACTCAGATATGATAATAAGTATGGCCATTATCACATAAATAAGAGAAGTTTGTTTTTCGTTGGGAATTATCTCACTGGATTTATCAAAGTTGATGTTCACTTCCTGTTTTGACCACTGGATCGATTTCGATCATTATATTATACATATCAATAATTTCAACAAATTTTCCTCTGTCTTTTAACAAATATGACATAATCTATAATTGTTGAAACGTATCTGAAGGAGGCACAAAGGAAAATTTTCTTCTACAATTACTTCCTACATCCGGAGTCTTGTTTCCTCTATCCGTGTAATTCCTTTCGCGAAGCTCACGATCGACGTGAGCAGAATGCAAACGATCAAGAAGAAAGAACACTCGTCTCTCTGGAACGATCCAAGGCTACTTGATCCGGATAAAGAGCTTGGAACGATACTTGAAATTCGATCATATAAGCGATTTCCATTTTTTCCTTCTTTTTTCGCAGAACCAGCTCGTTTTCGAATCTACGGAAAAAATGGTCATCACGTAAGATGATTTAACTTTTTGCTTTCGATGATTTCTCTTCGATCCTGCGTGGGTGAAGAGTTGTTGACTCTACTACGATAGAAATATTGGTCAAATTATAATTATATCGCGAATCTTTTTCATTCATTTATAGTTTATAACATTTATTCATTTGAACATAGTTAACGTATGAATATTGATTTATTAATCTATTATCATAATAGATAATTAATTGTTTAAATATTATTACATTTCTTGTGCTGAATATATTATAATTTCTATGTACGCATTCTTCGTTTAATTTCAGATTTTAATATCGCGAACAATTGTTGGTGAAATTTTGAAGCAATCTCAAAATGTGCATCGTGTACACGTACAATTTTAACCGATTTAATGACACAGTTGGTGGTAATAAACGATAGTGATAATAAAACTTTAAAGTGTTACGTATTGCATGCGTGATATACCCATTCATAAAATCTCGCAAGTCCGTTTATGGCAGTGTACGAATATTACCGTCGAGCAAATGTCGAAAGAATTGAACCACCACTCTTGCGAGAATGGAAAATCGATGGACATTTCGTGTTCCACTGTATCATTTTTATTTCCCCGGGTGCTTGTTTATTGCACCAAGCGTTGAACTTTCTATTCGGCAAATCGAAGACGACAATACGGAAGTTGTAATCAGTCGTCAAGCAGTTGTATGCAATTTTTGTATGCCGAGTTTCGTGTGACTCAACGTGCAATACGTGCAATGGTTTTGTCGGTTGTTCAGCAGCGTTCGTGCCGTACTCAATAATTGCACCACTTACTCGACAATTTTTAAAAAATAGCTGTTCTTCGGATTCAACATTTCGTTACAAAACATTCGTCGGGCATCTTTGAACACGGATTTCGATCGTACAGTGAAGAACATACTTATGAATATGTTACAAATGATAAAAGAATTGTCGATTATAATTTCGTTAAAAAAAAAAAAAAAAAAAAAAATCATACAACAACACACGTGGTCTCATTTTAAAGTGCAAAGCTTTTTTTTTTTGACAGACTTGAGTTCATTTTTTTTCATATAGGTGGAAAAGTGAGAGGATATTTTTATTCTCGAAAATTGTAACAAGTCAAGTATCTTTAGAGAACATTTTTTTTTTTCATGATTCAATTCACAATGGTCTTGAAGATTGAAGTCTCTCCCCTTACAATGGTTTCCTATAATTTCAGTGAACTTTGTTAGGATTTCTTGAATTTTTGTTGTTCGCCCAAAAAAAAAAAAAAAATTCTTATTCAGTAAACAAGCCTCTTTCTTGACAAAAAAGTCAATTTTCATTTTAACATGCAAATCGTGAAGTTGAGAATGCGATACGCAGCAGGGTACAGAGTCTAAAGTCAAGAATTTCTCTGACTATGTGACAAACGTGTCTTAAAACCATTTTCTTTATCCTTTGTCTTTCTCGCTTCGTTTCTTCGCTTCTTAAGAAATGGACTAATGTTCGAATGATTAATTTAGCAGTTCGAAATTTCTAATCATTATTATTACTGATAGTTTTTTGATAGGAATTTAATTAAATTCTTCTATAACAATTCCTTGGCAAAAAAAAAAAAAATTGTTTTTACTGTCTTTGACAAAATTATTTTCATTGTTAATTTATCATTATCCAGTAATGATAAATTTTAATAAATTTAATAATTTTTCGTTGTCAATTAATTTCACTATTCGTAACTTTTTTTTTCTCATAACGATCGTGATAAAATAATATGTGATTGAAGTTTTTATTAATATTTTCAGATTCACAAAGATGTTAACTGTCTGGAATGCATGAAGATTGTCCGAAAGAAAAATTTATATAACTCTCGAGGATATTGAGGGATGTTTCTTGAAGCAATGTGATATACGCGCGAATATATAGATACAATTGTTTATTATATTAAAAACAGTAAGTGACGATGGGTTTGTCAATCTATTTGTTGGCTGCTATCACAGCTTTGGGAACGGTGAATGCTTTGGAAGGGCCAAACATATGCACTAGGCAAGAAACGTAAGTAGATTAGGTTTATTATTAATTTATGTGCACTATGCTTGACAATATTACGTAAAGTGATAATTGATACTTAACTTGTTTTCCTGGATCTTTATTAGAGAGTCTAATACTATCTTTCTTGGTCTAGAAAATATTCAATAAGATATTTAATAAAATTTTATGAAAGAAGTAAATATTAAAATATAATATATTTAATATAATATAATAAAATATAATATAAAATATAAAAAATATAATATATTTAATATAATATAATAAAATATAATATAAAGTAAATATTAAAATAAATATACTAAATGATTTATTATTACATGTATGTGTTAATAATTACGTGTATTATCTGTTATAATTACATATAATTTTTTATATTTGATCATAATTTTGTTTAATATACATATACATATAATATGCATATAATTTTGTTTAATATACGTACATATAAAAATTTCTACGATATTATGAAAGTGGATATAAAGATGTAAAGATATATAACTATTTTAGTTTCTTTATTTTATTTTCTTTTATTACAAAAAAGTCTCTCCTTATTACAAAATAAAAATTAAATTTTTTAAGAACAAAATCGTAATGGACTTAAGAGAGATAATAGACTTAATTTTATTTTAACTGTCAATCGTGTTTTTCACGATTCATAACACTTGGCTGGTGTTAGGTACACGGTAACGGTGAGAATATCGGAGCAGAAACCTTATACTGTACGAGAGAACACCTGGTGCTTCAGTTTTCCGCCGAGATGCTCTAAATACAAGGTGGTATTCAAGACGATGTACAAAGAACAGGTAAATATTATTGACATATAAGATGTACCAATTAAGAAAAAGTTTCCTATAAACTAATGTTCCGATGTTTTGTTCAATCAAGGAATTAACAAAACAAAGACCAGTGGAAGAATGTTGCAAAGGCTACACAGAGACCAATGATGGCAATCGTTGCATTCCTATCTGTTCCAAGGACTGTATTCATGGAACTTGCATCGCACCAGACGTCTGCAAGTGTGAATCAGGATACGGGGGCCCGTTATGCGATTACAGTAAATAATAAACTTCACTATTTGCTTAATTTTTATTGTTTAATACTGGATTGTTCAAAATAATATTGAAACACTGTACTATTGAAACCAGAAGACACTTTCACCTCGTCCCTTCCCTTATTCTTGATGCAAGATATAGTTTTCACTATCCAGAAATTAGTATTTTTAGAGAAAGAACTATTAATAAAGAAATTGAAATATTTATTCATTAATTTTGTTGTTAGCTTAAATGCTGAGAATGATTCCAAATATAGTAACTATAAAAAGATATTTCCCTTTACTATATTTATCATAGAATTTACATATGGCAGTCATTATAATTAAGAAAGAAATTTAAATCATTATTTTTTATGTTTGTTGCGAATATTCGCAGTAAATGTATATTTTTATCTCGACAGAGTGTCCACCTGGGAAATGGGGTAAATCTTGCGAAATGGATTGTATGTGCCAGAACGGAGCAACTTGTGATCCATTTGACGGCAAATGCTTGTGCACCAGAGGTTGGACTGGTATATACTGTAGTCAGGAATGTCCTCCTGACCGATATGGACAAGATTGTGGCGAAGAGTGTCGTTGCAGGAATGGTGGAAGCTGTCATCATATCTCTGGCGAGTGCCATTGTGCTCCTGGTTATACAGGACCGCTGTTAGTTTTCTCTGTTCTATTATTAAAATTATGTTAAATATTAGAATTCAATTTCCCAGTCGCTCTAACGATTTTTTTTTTTTTTTTTTTTAGTTGCGACGATTTCTGTCCACCTGGAAAACACGGCGATGAATGTAAATCAGAGTGCAAGTGTCAGAATGGTGGTTCTTGCAATCCTACAACTGGCGAATGCTATTGTACACGTGGATGGACTGTAAATATTAGTTAACGATATTACGATGTAAATGTGTTGGTGCATGATTTAAGATTTTGCTTCAAAACAGGGTTCAGTTTGTGCGAACCGGTGTCCAGAAAATTTCTGGGGTAAAAACTGTTCTCAAGAGTGCGATTGTTACAATGGAGCTGGCTGCCATCATATCACTGGAGAATGTGAATGTAAACCTGGCTATTATGATGAAAAGGTGATCACTCTTACTATTAATGTTATTCAAATTAATTGTTGATCTCTTGATAAATATGCTTACTATAGTAGATATAAATGATAAATAATTTTAAAAGTGACAATGCTTTACAGTGCTTAAAAATATGCTCTGAAGGAACGTTCGGTTTGAATTGTACAAATAACTGTACCTGTGAGAATGGTGCAATTTGTTCTCCAATCGATGGAACTTGTACTTGTAGTCCCGGTTGGATGGGTAAAAAATGCAACAAGCGTGTTTGTTCGGATAAATTGTGGGGACCCAACTGTTCCAAAGTATGTGATAATACATAGAAAATATATTTATTTTTTTTATAGTGTTTTTAATGTTAAAGAGATAAATAAAATGTTGTTAGGTTTGCGAGTGTGAGAATAACAATACAGAAATATGTCATCCTTGGACTGGAAAATGCATTTGCAAACCAGGATGGGATGGTGATACCTGTACTAGACCTTGTCCACTTTATATGTATGGGAAGGGCTGTCAAAACCATTGTAATTGCAAGAACAACGCGCAGTGTTCGCCCATAAATGGAACTTGTATTTGTGCGGCAGGATACAGAGGAGATGATTGTAGCGAAACATGTCCTGACAACACTTATGGCGAAAGCTGTACGCAAAAGTGTATTTGTAAAAATGGTGCCACTTGTTCACCCGAGAATGGCCGATGCAATTGTACAGCAGGTAATGAGTTACACTCTTACGAGCGAATAAATTAATACGAAGTAGTATAAAAAGATGAAATCTTAATTTCTAATTGAGATATGCGTGAGTAATTAAGAAGTAAGAAAAGGAGGTATCCTTAAAATGATAAGCATCTTGTGATCGTATGATTTAATAACTTTGTATCATTTTGTTGTTGTCTGCTTAAACATTGATAATTAATTTATTCTTTAATTATCGTGAATGGCATGAATAATTTTTAATAGTGCGTTAAACTAACTGTAGTTTAGTAGTGCATTATTTGCAAATTTGTAGAGGTTTGTCTTACAACATACACAGTAATGTGTACTTAAGTCAATATATTTAAGTAAGGTAAGTAAGTTGAATTTGTAATCAGAATTATTATTTTTGGATATCTTCTTTAAAATGTTTCCGTTTTTTTACATTAAATTTTATTACGTTAAATTTTATTCCTGCATGAATTATTATTATATTTTGTTAGGATGGGTTGGTGTTTCATGTGATCGTCCCTGCGACGACAAGTCTTTCGGCAAGGACTGCGAGGGCAAATGCAAATGCTTTAACAATGCTGCCTGCAATCCACAAAATGGTAAGGGGGCTGGTTGCAACGATTCTTTCTCAATTTTAGGGAAAGTTAATGCTTTAAATTATTAACAAAGAAGTATTAATTTGTCGCTAGATCCTTGATTAAATTAATTTTGTTTATTTCTTAATAATTTTATTCTTATATTTCTTTATTTTTGTTTTTTAAAAATTACACTTCTTAATTTCTATGTTTCTATTTTTATTTCGTTGCACCTGCACCAAAACACCTTTATTTAAATACCTTCAGGCACATGCACGTGTGCAGCTGGCTTCACCGGCGAATTTTGCCAAGATCATTGCGAAAAAGGATTTTTCGGGTTGGGATGTACTCAGGCCTGCGATTGTCATGAAGAGAATAGTTTAGGCTGTGATCCTGCCATTGGTCGTTGCATCTGTAAACCAGAATGGCGAGGTTTGCTTTCTATTTTAATTCGATCGATCAATCGCCATATATGAAATCTTTAACAATTATCCTTTCCTTATACATCTTAATGTCTTGATCATCCTTTCTACATCATTAATCATATAACGTAAAGAACAGAGATTTTAAACTATCAAATGATATTCTTGCTTATTCATTTAATGTATCATATATATTATTAGATAAATTTTTTTAAAAGAAATTGAAACTGTTGAGAATAACTAGAAAACTAGTTGTTCAATGGCGATTTGATCATCGATAAAGTTTTTATTTTTAACATAAAATAGGAATCCGTTGTGAGACCAAGTGTTCAGAAGGCTTGTATGGTGATGATTGCCATTCGCAATGTGAATGTATGAATAATAGTTCATGCGATCCGCAAACAGGCACTTGCATTTGTGCCAGAGGCTGGGAAGGAGCTGACTGTTCTCAACCCTGTAAAGAGGGGTGGTATGGCGTGCGTTGTAAGGAGAAGTGTCCAGAAAAAATGCAAGGTAAAAATTTCAGCTGAAGGTGAAATAAATCAAGCTTTCGTAGTTCTGTTTAGTAAGTAGTTTCGTAGTTTTGTTTAGTCAGTAGTACACTTTCATATTTTAAGTTGTATGATATTGTATCATATGTAGAAATTTTTTAAATTAATACTATTCCAGCATGTTCATGATAAGCGAAAAAATAACATATTAACGCTTTGTTATAAAGAATATAGTTATTTCTATTTTTATACTCTTACTTAAACACTTCAATAAAAATGGTAAGTTATTAGTTGATCTAACTCTAACACACTTCATACTTAAGGAGAGTTTGTTTATTTAATATAATAATCGTTAAATTTATCTTTCAGGAAACATGACGTGTGATCATGTCACTGGTGAATATGTTTGTCGACCTGGATACTTAGGTTTAACATGTGAGCATCCTTGTCCACCTAATCGTTATGGATTAAATTGTGCTAATCACTGTCGCTGTAAAAACGGTGGCGAGTGTCATCATGTTACAGGTAAAACTTTCTCTGTCATTTTTGCAATTCAGTGAAGGCTAGAATTTTATCAAATTTTATAGAAATAATCTTCACAAGTTGGTACATTTTTTAATTTTAGTTGCGCACTACTAACTTCTAAGTTAGATAATTTTAAGTTATCACTTGGTTTATCATATATTTTTCTTAATGATTACATCTTCCCACAGTGTTATTTTTTCAACATGATTTTAGCAATTTCTTTCTAAAATTGCATCACTAGTTATATTATAGATGACATAAAATTCGTATCAGATATTATCTAACATGGATCAGTGAAATCACTTTTCTCATTTATATCATTTTAGGCGTGTGTCAATGTCGACCCGGTTGGCAAGGTGAATTTTGCCAAACGCCTTGCATGGAAGGAACATATGGCATGAATTGTAGTCAACATTGTACATGCCAGAATGGAGGAAAATGCAGATCTAATGATGGTCATTGCCGTTGTGCACCTGGTTGGACTGGCACCAAATGCACCGAAAGTACACGAAGAAAAAATTATATATATAATACAGAAAAAGAAATTAACAAAACGTAATATATATTCTTTTCATATTTGTAAATCTAGTTTGCCCGGAAGGATATTATGGTGATCACTGTATGGAACCATGCGACTGTAAGAACGATTTCTATATGTGTCATCCTGTTGACGGTTGTATTTGCAGACATGGATACACAGGCATGTTAAATGTTTAAATCTCGTCAATATCAATGTGTCTTAACTAATATGGAAATATTCTTTTTTAGGTCCAAATTGTGATGAAGAATTGTTTTCGCGTAACATTCAGGAGAAAGATGAAACCGGCTATGGCAGTGTAGTAGCAGGATTTTTATTTGCTGCAATTGTTGTTATTGCAATAACATTTGCAGGATGGGTATATCATCGGCGTAGAGTAGCAGATTTGAAGAACGAGATTGCACAAGTGCAATATATCGCCGAACCTGCTTCTCCTCCAGGTATTTACTCAAACAAATGTCTTTAATTTATAATGAACTAAGAAGAATAATCAGCATGATATATTTTATATAGAACAAACTCAGTTTGATAATCCCGTGTACGCCTATCAAGGCTCTTCGAAATTCGATGATGGAACAACTACTTTACTGAATAACTTCCAATTCAGAAATAATCTCGGAACAAGTAAAAAGATAAACAATGAGAAAGCTAAATTGGGAATGAACAGTTGTACAGATGATGAAGACGATTGTAAAGGTATTATTGAAAATAATATATGTTAAAAGTATGCATATTATCTTGAAAAAGATTCTTATGCTTTCTTGGGTCACTTTTAGGATCTTATAATCGATATGATCTAAAGAATAGAGATGCAGATATGGGAAATCCAAATCTTAATGTATATCATAGCATCGACGAAATGGATGGGAAAAAGATCGAACATGTTTACGATGAAATTAAGCAAAATAATGACGAATCAGAATATGACCAGTTAGATCATCCAAGACCAGTTAGTAGTTATAAGCAGTACAATCGAATGGCGAATGGTTTCTGTTCGAAATCATCAGATAATGCAGGACCTAGTAGTTTGAAAGATCCAGAACTTGGTGAAATGTAAATTTTTCTTGGATCTCAGGCTGAATCATGCAGGTTCAAAATTTAAATATTATATGTCTTCAATATAACTTAAAAAAACATTTTAAAAATTTTTATTACTTTAAATAAGTAGTTTAGATACTTTTAAATTTTTTTACGTGTTAATTTGAGAGTCTTGAGAAAATCTTCAGAAAATCTTAAAAAATAATAAAAAATAATAAAAACATAAATATTTTCATTAATGAAATGTATGATTGCTCAGTATATGCATGTACATAGTTAAATGATAATGCAGCGAATAGTTAAATGGATATTTTATTTATGAAATGTATACTCATAGTGATTTATCCTGAACGTGTTAAATTGTCTCTCTTTATGATGATGCTTAGTAACATTTATATAATAGAATATCTGATGCAATATTATTAAAATCAATAATAATTTGAGATAAATAATTTTATCGCAATCGATTTTTAAGAATTTGTTTAAAAGCTAATTCAGTGCTTTTTTTATCGTTTATAATTAAAAAGATTTTAGATAGATGAAAGAAAAAATAATTACATATCAAAATTCTGTCAAAAAACTTGTAATATTTATAAAAATTATATAAAAATTATTACTTAAAACGCAAAATTTAGTAGAAGAAATAAAAAAATAGTCAATGATTTTTGCATATGAAAGTGCCTTGTAAGCTTGAAAATGACACAAAAATTATAAAATTTAATAATGTAGTTTATTTTTCTTTTACATACAAAAAGAAAAAAGAAAAGAAAGGAAAAAGAATTGGAAACTATAGATGAATAATGGGGTTAAAAATACTCAGTATATCTATAACAAATCATTTAGAATGTAAATTGGCAAACAAGGTACAAAATCGTTATGTAAGTTTAAGCAATAAGAGACCGATTTCACGATCTCAAAGTGTGCATATAATATATTAGTACTAAAAAATTCATCTTTCTTTTTTGTTTCTTCTTTATATTTTAAGTAGAGACATAATTACGCGATATTTATACTCATCACGCATGAGACAATAGAATGATTAGTTTAACAATTTATTTCCTGTATGTGCAAGAATATATTTGTAAGTAATTTAAAAACAAAAAAATCATGTTCTACGATTAGTATAGAATATCATATCATTAGAAATACATAGTTTCTTCGTGTATACGTATATGTCTATGTACAGACTTACATACACATATAAATATACGCACATACAGATAACACAAAAAGAATCTATTTAAAAGAATAGCATTCGAGATACTATTGTAAAATGGGATTATATTTATATCTTTTATATTAGATAATATTCTCTGCCTATTTTTTATTTCTTAAGAAATATCTATTTTTACGATTTTATATATACACTATTTTTATTTTTAGATGAATTCAGAGAAAACAGATTATTGTGATCAATATAAATACTTTTGTAAATATCATTAAACTAGAGCATAACGTAAAAATCAATAATTTTTAAATGTATGTATACTACTTCCCTAGAATATTATTTTTTAATCATGTCTCGTCTCTGCTTTCTCTGTTTATTGTGTGAGATCTGTAACGACTGGCTTTAATTAAGTTCAAAGTAGGCGACGAGATCCAGTAAAGTCCACCGAGAAATTGTAAAAGCGCCGCGAGACTCAAACAAAGGTTTGTGTCTGTAATCAGAAATTCTTTTCTACATAATTTGTTTTATTAATTATCCTTACGTTTGTAACTTTTAATCCGTTCTTTTATCGAAATAAAGTTTTGTTACGAGAACTTACCGTGTATGAAATAAAAGCCGAGAATGCATAAACCTGTGATAGTTGAAAATCCTTTGTGAATGGAACGAACCATTTCAGATCCAAGAACATCATATAAAGGCAAGTCTTGACAACTTGTTAAACTGCTAATACTGACACTACCCAGGATAATAAAAATTATCATCCACAAGTAGCTATTTACATGAACTAAACCTAGAAATATATATATTTTTTCAGAATGTGAATGAATTAAAACACACTTTTCTATTACTTGCCTATTAAACTGATACCACTAAACCAAGACGCTGTACCAAAATATAATCTTCTATTCTGATTTGTAAATTTTAGTGCTTTGTAACTAATAAGATTTGGTAGAAAGGTGCTGAAGCCAGCCATAATGGACAAAGACATCCAAACGTAATTATGTTGAAGAATCACACTTTCATTATTTAAGATGGGTAAAAAGAGCCAGAAGAAAAGAGTTGACACTTTCATTCCAACCCAGCCAGTTATTGCAGCCCAAAATCGGAAATTCTTAAGAATTCGGAGTTGATACTGCCATTTCTTATCCAAACGGACCACTGGATTTACAAATAGGTCCACATCTTCATCTAAATCCTCATAAGCATAAATATTATTTCCTTCGTTTAGTAATCCTGCTCCATGTGTCTTTTCATCAGGTTGATCATATTCAAAATTTTCTACGTTATCTTGACCATTTGAATCCTTATGAACGTTGGAAGAGATTTTTATAGGAAGTTCAGTATCTTCCTCGGTTGATAAAAGTAAACTGTAAGTGAATACTTAAATATTTGTTTTATACATTAAAATTATTTAATAATGATAATTTAATGATTAATGATAATATGAGATATTCTTATTTAAGATAATCTGAAGAATGACCTGTAAGGAGAAGTTTGTTGCGAAGAAGGCAGCCGAAAAGTCAATGTTCCAAACGCAGTGGGCAATAACATAATAGTTATTAGTTGCAAACCAGTTTTCAGTTGAGCTTCGTATAACAACAAATTTGTAATATTTGGAATAAGCAAAAGACCGAAAGAGACTGCAACGTTTTTCAACATCAAGGCTACAAGAAGCTTTCTTCTGAAGTACTTCCTCAAAATATAGTCACTCAGTAATGTGACAAAACTGGCGCCTATGCCCATTACTGCACCTGCACTACTGTTGGCTAAATAAGCACCAACTCCACCAGTTGCAAGATATCCGGATGCTATAATTCCAATTATCAGGAGAAGCACTCCTATTATGCCTACCAAACGTGGAATTGATGCCATACTCACAACCATCTTTGTCCAAGGATCTAGAAAGAAGTTATAAGAAATTGGTAATAATTGTAAGAAGATCATAGATTACTAAATTGTTTATATACCTGCTAGATTCCAGAAGGCAGTAAACAATATAGGCGTCAAAATAATTTTTTCATCCCATACGTCAAAATCAGTAGATTTAGTTTCACGAATATATTCCAGGACTACCCCGTACATCGCTAGTATGCTTGGAATAGTCATCTGTAAAGATAAGAACAGAATTTTTATTCTGACTATGTAAATTTTTTAAATATGAACGAGTTAATCTATATATATAGAGAGTATTTAGAAAATATAATATCTAATATACATAGAGAATTTAGAAAAAAATTAACATTATTACACTTACTAATTATTTAATTTTTTAAAACAGTAATATAATGATAAAAATTTATTTTGATTTCATAAAAAAATATGTCGATATTGTGGCTTTATGTTATAATATATATTTGTAAACAAATTGGATCTTATAATTTTTTACGAATATTTCCAGGAATATTCTATGAAAAACATTACATTTAATATTGTAAAAATGAATTAAAGGATATGTTTTTAAATACTTTGTATAAAACGCATAATATCAAGTATTATTCAATTAAAATGAGAAAGTCATTTGTGTACTTTTGTATCGAGATTACTTACTTGGACTAAAAGTACTCCACAAAGAACAATCCATGCGTAACCACCATCAGGAACCGTGGGTCCTAGTTCTGGGAATGACGTGACGACTTCATCGAGACGAAGACGTTTGGTTGAGGACATTATTTATTATATAAAAACTAAATAATCAAATCGAGCAAATGTATTTGAAATTACAAGAATTTCGGCGCATACTAAAGACATTCAGGTGATTCTGAAATCTATTATCTAATCTTACTAAGGATGCCAATGGTCTGATAGCCAATGATAAGGAATAGCAGTTCTAAGAATATTATGTATGTGCATGTATGTACATTTTTTATTGAAGGCAAACAATTGACCAATGGCTATGAACAAGCAGAGAGATTTGATAAGAGGAGTGAATACACATATAAATATAAATATATATAACATTTATTCGACACTAGACATATTCCAAACAATAACATTATCAAAATTGCATGTTCTTTGCTTCTAATTATGAAGTTAACAAGTGTTCTTTGCTTCTAATTATGAAGTTAACAATGTCGCAACAAGCAGCCTATAAAATAGCATATTCAGTGATTTTCTGCTTTTTTTTTTAGTTCTAAATTAATTATCATATATCTAAATCAATTATCATATTAATTATCATATTATAAATACTAATGCCTCATTATATTCTCAGTTTTACTTATGATACAAAAGAAATTAAATACTTGTGTATTATACAATAAAAGAATTTCTCAGTAGTTCAAAAATGATTGATACATTTTAACGAAAGGACAAGGTCAGTTAAATTTTTTTCTCCGTTAATTTCTAGTGGAAGAACTTATTCATAAATCTTCGCGAATATCACCAGCTGCTATCGAAGTGTATCGCACCCTCTTGTTCATTGAGTCTAATATAGGCTCGATTTTTTGTTGTAATTTTGTGCGTTGTACGTAAATTAAAGCACACACCAGTCCTATTAACACCATAGAAAGGAAAAAGAGCAGAACAGTTGCACCGCGTGGAGTTGATGAAAACAATCTCGGGGTGCAATTCTTCGTTTCGTATATTTCGTGTGGTATTCCACCTGTGGTATTCCACAAAAATTAGTAACATTTAATTTCATATAGTATTCGGCGAAGTATTTCATCGAATACACATACCTTTGTAACACATCAAATTGTCTTTATTACGAACGAATACTTTCGTTTTTTTCATCCACTTTATAAATGGATTCAATTTGCAGGAACATTCAAGAGGATTTCCAGTAAGATCTATAGCTATGCTTTGGTTGTGCTTGATAAGCGTATCCATAGCCTGCAAGTCGTGTTCTACGACTTTTGTGAACTTATTTCGCTGAAGGTCCAAGAAACGTAGTTTATGGAGACAAGATATGTTGAAATGCAACGCGGTCAATGTGTTATCACCGAGGTAAAGATCCAGAAGATTCGGGAGATCGCAGAATACATTACTATCCTTGAATTCTGATATTTCATTTTGCTCTAAATGGAGCTTTATCAGTTGTGTTAAATTACTGCAATAAGTATAAGATAATCATTAATAATTTATAAAGGTTAGAATCTTTTTATAAGGATTGGAATTTATCAATCTGATACCTGTTGACAAAAATATCGTGTAATGTCGCTGCAAGATCTCTTGGTAGACCATCCTCAAAGGCATCGGTTAAATGAAGTTCTAAGAGGGACACAAAATTAGAGAATACTCTGGGATGACTTCTCGCAGGATCCAGCGAGAGTTCATTGAAATCTAAAATCAGTCGTTCGACACGTTGAACATGATGGTATGCCTTCCCTCGAATTTCTCTTATTTTATTGTTTGACATATCGATCATTCTTAAATAAGGCAGACTGTCCAGAGTGCCGAATACGTTCCATGGAAGTTCTCCAAGGTAGTTCCCAGTGAAAATAAGTACCTGAAAATAGCACAAACGTGTCAACTGATTTTTCTATAAAATTTTATAACAGTCAAAAAACGTTCATCTTTAATATAATGACTTGTGTTTCATTTGGTAAATGCGATAACGGTGTCACATTATAAAATCCTGAATTAGTACAATTGACAACATATTGATGGCGATTCTCGTAACATGTTCTCAAACAATAGCAACGATTTTCAAAAGACGGACCACACTCCATTCTAGCGTTTTCTAATGTTTCCAACGAGTGCCAATTAGGATCATTGCAATCATTGGATAAGTCAGCAGTGGTTGCGCATATTAAAAGGAACATTGCATGAAACTTATTCATTATGCATCTGAAACATAAATTATAAAATATAAATCTTCAAAAGATAGATATTAATTTTATTCAAATTTCTGTCTTACACATAAATTCATTTGCCAATGTAATAGGCGAAATGTAACAAAAAAATTAAACTGAGAACACTACATCTTTTGTTTCTTTCAAGCACTATGATTGTAATATTTCATTTAATGTTTTAATATCTTCTATATATCTGTAACAAGAATTTGTAATTTGAATGTTCCCGCGAAAAGTTGTTTAAAATTTAGACTGAGTTGTGATTGGCTAAACCATATTGGCGGTTAAAGTGAATTTAAACTTAACACCAAATCACTGAGGTTAGTTTCTCATGATCAAACGCGGAAGAAGAGTAGGCTTTACTTGCATAATAATTTTAGGTAGGCAAACATTAAATGTTGTTAAAACGTGTGCGATGAAACTTGTGCAAATGAAAGACTGTAAAAGTGTTTTAAAAAATGTTTTTGGCTACGAAAACTTTAAAAGCAAAATTCAAGAAAAAGCTGTTATTGCTATTTGCACAGGTCAGTACTTTGTTCTTATGTAAATGTTTCATTTTTATGTAAGAATGTTTCTTATTATTAAAAACTAAATTTATTAAAAACTTTATTAAATGTTATAATATATAAAATATTATATATATATATATATTTTACTAAAAAAATGTATTATTCTACATGTTATTGTATCATGAATATCATAAAATTTTATTTAAAAAGATGCATCAAAAAGTATGATGGATAATTGTAGGTGTAAGATATGTATTTATATCTATGCCTCCTGGGTTTGGCAGGTCCCTTTGTTATCAGTTACCTGTTTTCTTACAAAAGGGAATTGGAATAATTTTTTCTCCAAAATTATCATTTATTAAGGTAAAATTCCTGATACTTTCAAAATGTTAATTCATCAAACTTGATTAGTTGACTTTATTATATGATCAAGTATTTTCAGAAAGAAGTAGATTTTTTAAAAAGCAAATGCATTAATGTTGGCTTATTGTCCAAAAATACAAAAATATCTGAAAGGGATAATGTCTTAAATGATTTAACATCAGAGTATCCAAAAATAGTATTGTTATACGTGACTCTTGAAATGAGTAGTATGACATATTTTAAGGTAAATTATTTTATCATTTCAATTTTAAGATATTTCCAATTTTAGAAATAGGAACTGTCAACAGGAACTCTTGGTTTTATTAAAAAAACGTAACTTATTGTCTCACATTGTATTTAATGAAACTCATTGTTTAAGTGAATGGGGATATGACTATAAACCTGGTTATAAAGATATAAATATTTCATTTAGAAACAAAGTATTGGAGCATGTTCCAAAAATTGCAGTAACTACAACTGTTACTAATAAGGTAACAAAAATAATTTGAATTATTGTCAGCAAATATTTGGATCTTCTTAATTAAATATTTTAACAGGTAACAATAGACATCTGCAAATTTTTAACATCAGAACAGGTAAAAATTTTTAAAATACCTGTACAAAAGATCAATGTACACTTTGACGTGTGGTTTGTGGATATACTTTATGACCCTATTGATCATCTTAAAAAATTTATCACAAGTGTACTTAGCCTGTTTGATTTATCCAATAAGGTAAATTTATTTGTTTTTTTATTTGTCTATGAGATACATGTTTATAAAAATTATCTGTACTCAGACACATAAAGGTTTTGGCATTATTTACTGTAGAGAAGTGTCTACTGTGGAATTATTGCAGAAAAAATTAAAGGACCTAGGCATATCTACACTTGTTTATCACCATAGTAAGCAAATCATCAATTAATCGTTAGTCTTTTTATTTCTGAATCTGAGATTTAATGGTAATGATATATTCTAGAATTAAAGAATAGTATCCAACGTCGCACTGAAAATGAATGGATATCTGAGAAAATTCGTGTTATCATTACTACATATAATTATGGATTTATTTATAAGAAAAAGATTAGGTTTGCGTATATTGCAATAAAAAAGAAAAATTTCCTTTATACAATTCCAAGTAATCTATAAAATATTTATTTAATCAGATGCATCGTTCATTGGACAATACCTGAGAATATTGCCAAATATTATAGAGAATGTGCACAGACACATTTAGAAAATAATCATGCATATTGCAGAATATATTTTAGTACGGAAGAACATTCTTCCGTGAAACTCAGTATCAAAAATCACAAAGTAATTAACGATTTAGAACATACTCAGATACGATTAAATGAATATAACAAATTTGTATCTTATTGCCTTTCAATGATGTAAGAAGTTTAAATTATTCAAAATATCCTTTTTTTCGCGATTTTTCAAAATTAAAAGATAAAATCCTGCTTAGGTGTCGACATACAACCATTAGTCGATATTTCGGGCATATAATGCCGCCTTGTAAAACGAATTGCGATGTCTGTAAAGACGAAGAAACAGCAATGATTAGGACGCATAAATTTATTGCATATTCAGAAGAGTGTAAAGGGATAAAATATAACATGTGAGTATTCTTAAATCTCAATCTTCGAACTTTATTAATTTTCAAGTATGTACTCTTTTAATTCTTAGCTGTGATGTTAATGAGGACTTAAAGAAACATCAACAGAAACAACTTGAAGAGCAATTAGATGTAACTTCAAAAGTTAAAGAAGTGGAAGTTGAAGAAGTAGCAGAAAATAGTATAAAAATAGAACGCATATCAACAAAAGTAATAAAACAATCGAATCTGACTGCAAAAATTGCAGAAGAATCAAAAGATAGCTTAGAAACGGGACATAAATCATCAGAATCCTCTGACAAAAAAATTACCTTGAATAGGAACTTGAATAGCAACGTACAGTTTATTAAGTTAAACAATGGAAAACAGAAGTTGCCGGCAGAAAATACTTCTCTTAGAAGGATTGATCACTCAGTGGATAGAAAAATTAAAAACAATACAGAGAATACGGTGAAACCTGCAAAAGATTATTCACTTATGATACAGTCAAGTAAATCTGTAATAACGCAGTCTTTGCTGAATAAATACAAGTTAGACACTAAAGCGATATCTTTGGAACCTTGCAGCTCACAGGGTAATATTTACCAATCTACAAAACAAAAAGTAATCACTATTGGATCTTGCAATAATAAAAACGAACAAAGCTCGTCGAAAGTTTTAAAAATCGATGACGAAATAAAGATGGGTGTCGGAGAAGAGGATCGTGCTCTTAGACAAAATTCTCGCGGGCCAATCATCATTGAAGACAAACAGTTAGATAAAACCTTGAGGAAACGTTTCATCATCGTGGACACGTGTCCTGAAAAGAAACGAAGGAAATTGGAATTCGAAAATAAACCAACTATTGGGACAGGAATAAATAGAGATGGAGGAAATGCCTCTGACTCGTGTGTTGGACGGATCAGGGATGATACAGATGAAAACTCGACCCGTGATGATGAGAGGATAGAATATATGATAAATAAGTATAAACTAAACAAATATTCAATAACATTAACACCACAGAAGAAGTAGCTAAATATGCACAACATCGCATTTATCGATTATATAAGATTACTTGTACTGTTATTATTCTTTTTAAAGAGAAGATAATACAATTATACCACAATTAGGGCGTAAGTAAAATATATTAAGGTATATTACAATATTATGTATTTAGAATACAATTGTTAAAAATAGCATGATTAGTGACAATTATCAATACTTATGAATATGTTGAACGTTAGCTGCAATAAAGAATGCCTCGCAATAGTTGTTATAATTGTCATAAGTTTTAATATTAAATGAAAGAATATTTGTAAGTTGGTCGCAAAGTAATTTTTATTTCATTTCGATAGATCTAACTGAGAAGCGAAGTATGTAGGTTGTATTCGTAAAACGTCAAACTTGCTCACCCACGCAACAGGTGATACTGAGCACAAAATTATGTTCGGTTCTACAATGTTATCTATTTATTTTATGCGCCATGATTAGATTAATATTTAAACTTTATTTCATTTTCTTTTTATCGATTATAAAACTAATTAAAAAATTACTTAGTTCCGTTATTATTGTTATTATTATTTTTGTGCAATTAAAAAATGTTAAGAAATACACGTCACTACTACTTTGAATATAAAGATCTCCAATATTTGAATCCTTCGATATTTAATTCAAAATTTTTTCCTATCAATCCGTTACTTTTCGTTAAATAATCAAACTTCTGAATTTTCCATCTTCAACAAAAAGGGGATTACAATTTTCATACTACAATTCCAATTAATATCATTGAAGAAAAAGTTATTTTATACCACACTTATCATTTGCATTATCATTTTTCAACAACAGATAGGAGAAAAAAAAAAAAGGCAAGAAGAATTATTAATTGTACTGTTTCCATATAAACGATATCATTTAGAAGGAATGTTTCGCCGGTCCAAAAATAAACAATTACTTAAAGTATTGTTGGTACTCACCGTTCAGAGCAACAGGAGGTGGGAGAGAAAGAGAAGGTGGAGGAACGAGATCGTGATTCATCCGAGTTCACCGGTGAATTCGTTTTAGGAATCACTGAACGAATCTCTTCGCTTTCATTTTGTCCTGGTCTTTTTCTTCAACTTAAATTTTCAATTTATTATTAAAAAACTCGTCGATGAAACGATACAAATCGTATCGACATTAATGATTTAAACTATTTATATTCAGGTAACGGAGAGGTCCCGCTAATGCAGTAAACGCGGAGAAACAACCTGTTGGAAGGAACGCGACACCGAGAAACGAGTCACCGAATGCTCGAAATATCTGGAACAAGACGGAAAAGAACTCCTTGCTGCACGATGGACAACATTACACTTATGTAGAGGCAGTGCGGACGTAGCAGCCGCACCTGTGTTCCCTCCTTCCATCCTTCCTATGCTTTTTCTCACTTTCTCCTTGCATGTCCGCGTCTCTCCTTTTTCTATGAATGTCGAGCTCCTCGTGCTTTTCCCCCCGAGTCGTTCTTTCTTTTTTCTTTTCTTCTTTCACCTTCTTTCCCATCTGATTGTACGTACTTTTTTTTTAGAGCTTCACTTTTCGACGATCAGGCTGATCCAAATTTCGAGTGCATGTGCTGCAATTACTTCAAATGTATATTGAAGATGAAGGGATCAACGTAATATAATATTTCTGTAATATACACAAGTGGAGAGGGTGAGAGGAAAGTTAAAACTTTCTTCATAAAAAATAAGTATTAAAAGGAGCGATGATCATTCTTATCAAAAAATAAGAAGGAACTTAAGATTTTCAAAGTAGTTGGGAACGAACCTTTATTGAAAAACGAAAGGGAAATTTATATTTCCTATTTTTTTAAATATTTTAAATAGAATCAAACTGAATAAATTCAAAATTATGTTTGATTTTTTTCCCGTATAAGATCAATGTTAATAAATCTTCGAACGACTTGTTTAACTCTTGAGTACCTTCTTAGTATGCATGTGTCATGTACGTACTTGTTATATACATACGTTATATATATGTATATGTACACACGACGTACCAGTTCAAGGCGATTAAAATTTAAACACATAAAGTAAGCTTTGATAATTGGAATATATTCTCTGAACGTTCTATTCATTCATTTTATTTTTTACTTCGAGATATTTTGGATCATTTGTATCGTAATTAACAAATTTTTTTATATGTTACTATTCTATTAATAATTCAGTAATATACGATTATAAATATAAAGGATAAAATATAGAAAAAATTTGATTATTTGATTAAAGTTTATTTTAGCCTTTTTCTCAATAATTCTTTTTAATAATAAATCGTTTAAAGTCACTCTCACTTCGAGTAAAATGTGAATAAATATTTACCGATCATTCTAATGCTTTCAAAGGAAATTCTTGAACACGTAAAACCGCGGACGAGGTATTCATATGCGTATTGATGCGGAACAATTTTTGTTAATATTTCAAAAAACACTTTCTATTATACTAATCAATAATTTAATAATTTTTATATTTCTATCACAAAGTTATACTTCGATGAATTTATCACAATGTTAAATATAATAATTTATTATTTTTTTACCAGTTACTAAATTTATATTTTCATAACACTGATTTTTAATGACTGTTACAACTGTATTGGTATATATTAAATAAAGTTTATGTAGAGAAAAATTATGTAGTCAAAAATCAACTAGTGATCGTCGCTTCTGAATAATCGCGCAACATAAAAAAATTTTCATTTTTTGTTTCAGAGAGCAAGAAATGTGTATATTATGTAACTATTTTTTCCATTATTGTAAATAAAATAATTTAATATAAATGAATATGAATCAAACTATGAAATTATGCCTGGATATATAAACACTGATTCAATTGTTGTAAGTAAATGTTGAAATTGTTAAATAATATATAGAAATATCATAGAAATGCATTATATTATATTTTGAACAATTAAATTATTTTATGTCTATAACATTTTTAAACATTATTTAATAATTGTCACAATCTTTTCATTATGATTTAGCAATTAAATTAATTATTTCATTCAATAATTCTCATTTGTTTGAAATACGTTGTTTAAATCGATTGCTATAAATTATTAGTGCTGCGGTGCAAAACCTCTAAATGGTTTTGGTAGAATATTACAATAATATTCGAATGATATGACATGATCATAATTATCGAATAATATGACATGAAAATATTTCGTTTGTCAGGTCTATTCTAGTTAGTCAATGATGTTTCACATATATATATATATATATATATATATA